TACCAGATGGTGTCTTTAGCCAGCAATTCTGGACTTCATATGAATTCATTGTTACTTAAACATGAAGAATTATGGCACACAAACTTGACTGCTATCTAGTGAAATCTTGTAGGGAACAAATCTCCACTAAAGACAAGCTGTGTTTTCCTACCAGTCTGATTAACTGCCTTGTCTCAATGACAAACAGCTCTTCTTCCCCAAAGGATACGGGGGAATCATCGCTGCTTTGATATTTATTATTTCTTGGAATATGGCTGGCTGGAACACTGTTTCCGGGGGAGAGTTTTCAGAAACAGCCCAGAAGGCAATAATATTGTTTAATCAAAACTCTGTTGCTATTGATTCAGATAAAAATTATTTTATCTGGGTTTAAAGCTAATAAACCGGCACAAAAGGCAGATATTTCCCCACCACCACCCAACATGACACTGTCATTTTTGTTGATGTAGTCGTAGATGTGAAGAGTAAATAAATAAACTTGGATTATGCCCTTCCCTTGTATTTAAAATGTGGGTTGAAAAGGGTTTCTTTCTTTTAATCGCTAACCTCTATATGCCCCGCAGGAACTCAAAATTTTATACAGAATTAATGTGGAACAAACTGTGCTCTTCTATTGAGTTAACTGGAATGTAGATATGTTGACTCTGTTATTGTCCTGGCAGGTGATTTTAACACATGTATAGACAGGGATAATAAAGCGCCAACAGCTACATTATGTCTTGAGAAAGATTCCCCTCCCCCTTTATTTGCTGCAAGACGCGAGAAATGATCAAATCGATCCCACTGGTGTTCGCTGGTAAAGGACCTCTTCAGATTTAAGCTTTGTTTCTTAGATGGAAAGAGCGCCAAGATAAATCTGGTGATTTCACTTCTGTCTTAAGTGGCCATAACAGATTAGATCTGTATTTCATCAGATCTTGCCAACAGTTTTAGTGATGTCAACTTGCTTCCACTTGGCTGCAAATAATTGCCAACGGTTTAATCATCGTATTCGCGAAGGCTTTCACGGCCGGGATCCAATGGTTGTTGTGGGTTTTTCGGGCTCTTTGGCCGTGTTCTGAAGGTTGTTCTTCCTAATGTTTCGCCAGTCTCTGTGGCCGGCATCTTCAGAGGACAGCACTCTGTGCTCTGGTGTAGTTGGCTTGGGAGTGCAGTATTTATGGCTGTGAGATGGGCTTTTGTCTGGCCCCAGGGGCTGGACCCTCGGTAACTCCAGCTGTGCGGGGGTATTCGTATAGGAATGCAAATCTCTAGTAGCAAATGCTAAAAATACTTGTTTGCACAGCATGATTAATCATCAACAGAGACTGGAAAATAATTATTTACCTAATCTGATTTTGCCTAAGTCCAGAGGAACCAGAGAGCTTCAACACATGGGCCTGGCACGCCTGTAGGGTTTTGAGACCCCTTTCTCTTCTTTGTCGAGCAGCACACACTGTTTTGCCACATGACAATCTCCTTTTGAATGTTCCCTTGGATTAAAAAGGGGTTTGACATGAGGCAAGAGTCGGCAGACATTTTACAAAAAGACAAGCCCCGCCCCCCCAAGCGAAGGAGTCCTAGGAGTTGCAGCCCTTGACATCCCAGTCTACATGGGCACCAAGGAAAGCTTGTTCAATTATTGAGTTTTTAGAGAAGTGCTTCGGCTGGGTTATACCGGCAGCAACACAGCAATTCCATATAAACGTAAGATGCATTTGTGGCAAGGAAGCAGCAAAGAATATCCTACATCGTTTATCCTGAAACTGAGCAGAAAGGATTCCTCTGAGCACGTGTCAACTTAATAAATCAATGGAGATTGCATTTTTGTTACTTGCAAACTGAGAAATAATTTATGATAGTGATGTTCAACGAACAAAGCTCACATTTTGTTAACTGCTGCAAAAGACTGATGAAAAGTCGGGGATGACTATACAGCTGAATGTGTATGGTTTGTTATTTTATTCTGTTTCCTGTTCTGCTGCAAATGTCACATTTATCATTTTTATCATTCAAGCCAGTTGAAACAAAAGGAATCCTGAATACTGTGATGCAATTACAGTGACGTGGTGAACTGTGATATATGACTGATCTGTTGCCTTCATTTCATAGAAAGCAGACTACTATGTTTCTGAATGAACAATTGCAATAACATGTCGGGGAGGGGGAAGAAACTATACGGAGTGCATCAGGACAAAGAGGCTTGTCTAAGTAGTATTTTGACAAAGAAAATAAGTGTTTTCTAATAGCTCGGTAAGAACAAGTGTTTGGGCATTTGTGGTGCTTCCCCCCTTCCCTTCCCCTCCCTTCCCCTTCTCTCTTTTTTCAGTTGTTTAGTATGCAGTAAAAGCAGCAGATTATTTCTCACAGCAGAGAATGAAAATTTCTGCAATGGAATGTAATAGATGTGTAGCTGCAGCTGACTCACTGGGTTAGCATCCCCAGAAGGGAAAATAATCATAATGACACTGCAAAGTTCCACTTCCCAGGAAAAGGAAGGTGATATTGGACGGGGGGGGAGGGGGAGGAGATCAGATGACATAATTTAAGAAATAAAGGCAGCTGAGTAATTAAATGCCTTCAGTTTCTGTCCCTGATGCAACTGATCTGTTTGTTCTTTTGATTAAATTCTTGGGAAGTCAATGAATTTTGAGAATCAGTATATCATCAGTACAAAGATCCTTTTCCAGTCTGAGGGCCGAATTTTTACATAGGAGATGGCTGGAGGCCTTTCCAGTGGTGGGCTGGACAGACCGGATGGGGCCAACAATGGTCAATGTTGGCTGTTTTTAAGCATATATCGTTGTGTCAGGTAGATTGTTTCTTCAGCTCCCCTTCTAGCCAACCCCCTTCTCCAGCTTTAGGTTGCATCCTCTCATGGTTGTTTCTTCGGTGACCTTCGACATATTAAGTTGTACTGTGATGGCACTGGCCTATGCAACCATCTTTCCAAATTGCCTTCTGTTAATCTAGCATGAAGCCTAATCCCCAAAGGTGGTGAACTTCCAAGCAAGAAAAAAGCCAGGTGGGCAGTATAATTTCTGTCAGATGTCTCATCAACGGCCAGAGCAGAAGATAAATTCCAAAGCAGAGTCTTTCTGAAACATTTCTACAATTTCAATTGTTTCTTGGATTTGTCATGCATTGCCTTCCAAGATAATGCAAGATTCTCAAATAACTTAATTTTGTTTGTACAAATTAGAGAAAGGCACAGATCTCAGTATGGAGGGTCATGCCAGTTCATACTTCTCCCACCTCCGTTGTAACTTAATTTTGTTTGTACAAATTAGAGAAGGGCACAGATCTCATATGGAGGCTCATGCCAGTTCATACAGTACTTCTCCCACCTCCCTTGCGCCAATGACCCACTCACCACTCAGAGCATGCTCCTCTCCTCCTCTTCGGCTGTTTGACCTGGCAGGAGCACGAGTTTGTCTGTCCTTCCTCCTTGTCTGGGCAGGCAATCAGCCAAGGAGGTGGGGTAAGGAAGCCCATGCTCCTGCTTGCAACTGGAAGGAGAGGAGAGGAGCATGTGCCGGCTGGGGAGTGGGGGATCCAGCTGGGGAGGCGGAGGAAGGGAACACTTACAAACCAGCACAAACCTCCGAACTGAGATTCGGGTCTACATCTAGTGCAAATACATCTGCAGTTGCAGCCATATGTTCCTTCCAAAATATGTCTTCTGAATGAGAAAAAAAAATCTTATAGACAAACCCTTGTTCTTAATTCCTCACAACCAGAGTGGCTCTTTTAAAGAGGACAGACTCTGTTTCAAAGTCTGCCAGGGGACAGCCTGCTCTTTGTCTGATTAAAGGACAAAGAATGAGAAGAAGGGAGGTCAGGGACCTTGACATCATTCACCTACAGGGAAGACCAGGATAGTAGAATCAGCAGACTGTTGTTACCATGTATATACTTCAGTGAGACACACTGCAGGTAACAGGCTTTGTTCTGCTAAGAACAGTGCCTGGAGAATCAGAGGTTTTTTTTAAATCTTATCCTCCTGGCTGGCTTGCCACAATGTCAGAATGTTTTCTGACACAAGTAGGTTTAAATTATATTTTTTAAAATGTTTTCTAATTTTGTGCATATAGATGGCACATATGCAATTTTCTGCAAACTGGTGGCCTCTTTCTTGGTGGATCTTTTGGTGATATACAAGATCAGATCATGCTTGAAGAACGTCCAGGTCTTTATAGTCCACAAAAAATCTAAAACAACTAAAACAAGGCTATACTATTTTGGAGACATTATAACTTACTGGAAAATATAACAATGTTGGGAAAAGTGGAAGGCAGTAGGGAAAAAAGTCCTACTATGAAATGGATTGAATTAATAAAGGAAGCCACAGCTGAATTAATTAATTAATATAGTTGCCATGAGTGAGAAGCCACTTATAAAAGCAATAATATAAGTGGCCACTTACCACAACAGTTGTTGGGTGAGACCTCTGAAAAGGAAAGGCTACCAATAGCTACACAAGGGCTTATTGTCTTTGGTAGCAGTTCCAGTACAAATGAAAAGCCCTGAAAAGCTCAGAAATGTGGTGAACTGGAGAGTGATGGAAAAGAACAGACACTTCTGAGAGGCACGGAAGGCCTCAGAGATACCCTGGAAAAGTGGGGGCGGGGCTAGAAGAGGCTGGAATATCTACGGAGACCACAGACTGTGTTCTGGTAAACTGGGGATGGAGATGGGCTTCTTGGGGTAGGTAGGGATGTCTAGCAGACCAGAAAAGGCCTGTGGAACAGAGGTTCCTCATCCTTGGCAGAGAAGCTAAAAGACTGAGATACAAACCATGAAGTCCTTTGATCAAAAGTAACATCTTCCATAGATCAATTTGTGGTCATAACAACAAGCTACCTTTGATTACCTTAGTTCCTTGTTTCAATGACTACTGTTAAGTGGTTACTGAGGTGGTGTGTCAAACATCAGAATGAGCTATGTAAAATCTAGGTACGGTTAACAGATCTTGTTAAAGATCCAGTGTTTATCGTTCCCTCAGAGGTGTTTCTTTTTACCTGCTGAGTTGGTCTTGGAGTAAATCCAGCCTCTGCTCCACTTCACCATAGTTGATCTCACTTTCTGTTTCTGAGGTGCCCCACATGGCACGAGGTAATGCTGACTGACTGGATGACTCTTGGTGGCCTCTGTTACAATCCTCCTGCCAGAATCTTCTGTCTGTGATGTCTGCCAAAATGTAAGATTACAAAAAGAGAAAAATCACTGAGAGATACCCACGGTCGGAATGAAGCCACAACAGGAGGGGCGTCCCACATTAGGGCATATACACAAAAGGGGCTTCCCTTTCTTCTGGTGTTAACGCTTAGCTGCTCCATGGGAATCAAGCTGCAAGTTCTATAAAGTGTGAGATAAGTCATTTATACAGAACCCTGATGCTGCTAGCAGTGCAGTTATGGTGGCTCAGTAATGAGGCTGGCTGAAGGAAATATTTCAGCTTATATGAGCCAGGCGGCAGGCAACGTAAAGCAGGTATGAGAAGACACAAGGGCTGGCAGGATGCCAAGCAGACCCTTAGTTCTGGAGTTGGCCCATAAGAATGGCTTTAGGGAAGCCTTTGACTATACGGAGGATATGATTCTTCAGCTTGGAGAGTCTTCAGCTTGGAAAATATCAGCTACAGAGAGAGACCACATCACAATAGCTGGGTTTCGGGACTGTGCAGCTCTCTATGCACAATATTTAAAAGTTTATGAAAACAAAATGGAAAATTGGAAAACAATACAGATTCATAACAAATGGGAAGTCAAGTCATATAATAAAGAACCAGGCAGCTGAGATATCAGCAACGGTACAAATTAGAGAAAAATGTTGAGGTCAGTCTCACATGAACCAATTAAAGGCACTTGTAAACACCCAGGTCCTTGCTTCCTTGATAAAGAAGGAAGCCAAGTACATCTTATAGGAAGAAATTCCGTAACAATGCACCTGCCATATAAAAGGCCCTGTCTTGTGCGCCCAGCAGGCAATTCAAGCAAGTGATACCCTTACTGGATGAAAATATATATACTGGATGAAATATATATTGCTTCCTGCCTTTCTTACTGATGCATTTTAAATGATCTGTTCTTGTTTACAAAATTACAATTTTAGTTCTAATGCATTTGTTAACTATTTAAAAAAACCATTTATTCCTTATTTAGTTTCTGGACAGGGGAGTGGGTCAGCTTTGCTCCCAAGAAGAGCAATGGTTGGGGAACACCTTCTCCCTGCTAGGGCCCTCACAAGGGTAGCCATAACATCCAACAGAGCATCAGCTGGGAAAGCCCACGCTGACCCTGGAGAGGCTATGAAGGTGGAGACGACAGCACCAGCAGCTCATTCAGCCAACCTGGGACAGAGAGGGACAGCTCTGGCGGCAGGACACCCATTGGCATGGCACTTAAGAAGCAATGGACTGCTGGAGATGGTGAACCCTCCCCAGCCCCAGCCACGGATACTGGACAGCAAAAGACTAGAGCAGGGAACTAAGCCCCAATTGTGGGCATGGGTGGTGGTGGTCTAGTTCAAAGACCAATCCCATATATTTGGTAAAGAAATATAGCTCTAGGCACCGGGGAGTATTTTCTTTTGCTTTCTATATATCTTTGTTTTCTCTCTGCCAGAAAACGGCATTTGTTTTATCTCTATCTTTAGTGGCTGATATGGAATCATAATAGAGGGAGGGAGGGAGGGAAAGTGAAGTGAAAACTGCTTTCAGAGCACTTGCAGGGAATAAATCACCAGGAATAAATGGGATAGCAATAGAGTTGTTTCAAGCTCCAGAGAATGAATTTATCAAAATGCTAACAATAATGAACTAATAAAAATGGTAAAAAGAAAAAAATGGCCCACAGACTAGAAATGCTGAATATACTTTTTAGTCCTAAAAAATCAAGAACAAAGAGTGCTATAACTATACGACCATCACATTAATTTCTCATATGGAGAAATAGGTGCTGTATAACTTTTTATTATATATGGAATGAGAAATGCCACACGTTCAACCTGTAAGGCACTAGAGATCATATTGCAAATATATGTTGGCTACGAGAGTGCATGAAATTATTTCCACCAAAGCATTTGACTGTGTAGATAATTATCATCTATGGATCATTTGAAAAATAAAGGGTGTCTCACAACATTTTATCATCCTAATGCCTAACCTGTATTCTGGATAAGAGGTTACTATTATGACAGAAAATGGAGAAACAGAATGAGTTTTTCTTGGCAAAAATGTGAGACAAGAGTCCATTTTTTTCTGCATTCAATATATAGGCAGAACATATAATACAAAAAGCTGAAGTAGTAGAAATAGGTAGCAAAAACTATGATATATATGTGACAGAAAATAGCAATGACTTGAAATGCCTACTGAGGAAAGTCAAAAAAGAAAGTGCAAAAGCAGGATGAGAGCGGAACATGACACAACCAATGACTACAGAAGAATTGTATCTAGTCAATGAAGAAACAGATTTATTAATGATAGGACTTTTTATAAGTCATTGATACATAGGGTCACCATATGTCAGAACTGACTTGCTGGTGCATAATAATAAGCAGTGGTTGCCTTGAACACAATGGCTGAAATCCTGTTGCTTAGCATAAGCTGCACTAGAGTAGCCCCACTGAATCAGTAAGAATTTGGTGAGTCAACTCCTCCACAAGTTCTGTTGATTCGAGTTACTGTATGACTTATTTTAGTGTAGTAAGCAACAATTAGAGTAGGCTCATTTGAATCGGTTGAATTTATGAAGGATTTGACTCATCAAATTCCCACTGATTCAATGGCCTACTCTAATGTTACTTACTATGCTAAGCAATAGGATTTCAGCTAGAGATGGGGGTATCTGTATACGAATATCCCCCCCACAGGTGGAAATAATGAGGGTCTGGCCCCATGGGGCCGAACTGCCCACTCACCATTTCACCATTGACATGAACTTGGTGGAACCTTCCTATTGCACCACTGTCTGCAATGGATTAGCCCCTCCTGGCAGGAGGCGGGATGACAAGCCTCTCTGCCAGGTCGCACAGTGGCTAATATAAATATAGGACATAATAAATGGCATATCATTGGAGACCAATACTGGGTTACAGGTCCACAGACAAAATATTTAACTCATTTTAACAAACCCTGACATTAAGGGATCCTAAATGTATTCATTTAAATTATGATATTTTAATATATAAATGTTAGAATAAAATGTTCTCATCAATACCCAATATAAGATTTACAGAAGTGCTTTCAATCTCAGTTATATCCACAACTTTATAATAATAGGTGTTGTAAAAAATATTGTGCTTCTAATTAATTCAGTTAAAAATATAAGTGAAAACAAGCATATGAAGAGTGAATCAAACATCATTGTAAAAAAAAAACCCAAAGTGTACAAACACCTTCATCAAAGATGATTCATTCTTAAGAACACAACATAAAAGGCCAAGGAAAGGAACAAAAGATTTTTTATTTTAATTTGTGTTTGGCCACAATGAAAAGCTACACCTCTTAAGCCTTATAAATTTAGCTGAATGCAGTTTGCACCAGATTGCCTTGGAAAATGTTGCCATAGCTGCGAGAACACAGTTCTAATAGCCAAAAGGAAACAGGTGAGCTTCAAATCTATGGGTCTCACCTTTTTATAAGCTCATGCGGAATCCAGAATCTACTTCTCATTAGCATTCTAGAATGCCCAAATATACATTCTACACTCCGTTTGGTTCATGGACTGATAGGCAGTCGAGTGAAGTGGCATTCAAACCTAAACCTTTGCTTTAGAGGTATGAATGCAAGCTTGGAAATCTTAGAAGCATGAACACAGACACACAGAGGCACATTGCTTGCAACAAGCAAGCATTATATATGACATAAGAATGTTTAATGTTTCACACATATGTAGGTATTTCTGCTACGTATTCTTAATCAACAGCTTTCACGTTGGTTTACAGTTTTCTCCCAAAAGTGAGACTCAAGGTAGCTCACACTATTAAACATGTGAATGTTATCTATTAGCAGCCACATTATCCTATTTTATTCGTAAAGATCTGCCTGTGAACTTGATCATGGCAACATATTATTATAAATCACAACATGTACATGTTTTGGTTATATTTTTGTTGACACAACCAATTAAACATAATTCTCTTGTAGCTCTCATCAGGCTCACTTTCCTATGGACAGGATTAGTAGAATTTCCCCCTAAACCCAAATTATCCAAAGTTACACAAAGTTATCGCTCAATGGAAAAAAGAATGACTCCTCACAAATCAATCTCATCTACTTTTACTTATTTCCAGTATTTTACGATGCGTGCTTTTGATATATGCCATTAGATATAATTTAGCTACTGATCCTAGGATAGGATGGTGTTACAGTGAAATGTAGCATGAGATCCTCATTAATTCTACAGATTTGAAAATTAGTCCCTGAGATTTCAGGGTCAAAACTAGGGTGGCTCCATCATTGCAGTCCTTCTTGCAGGCAAATATCTTTTTATTCAGGCAGGCTTTCCATTAAGAACTGGTGGTCCGAGAGGTTTTTTTTTAAATGAATGGTTGTGCTCTGATGTTTTAAATGTGTTTTAGTGTTGATTTTATTTACTGCTTTTAATATAATACAGTGGTGCCCCGCATAGCGATGATAATCCGTTCTGGAAAAATCGTCGCTATCCGGATTCGTCGCTATGCAAAAAGAAAAAGCCTATAGGAATGCATTAAACCCCATTTAATGCGTTCCTATGGGCTTAAAACTCACCGTTATGCGAAAATCCTCCATACGGCCGCCATTTTCGCTGCCCAGTATACGAGGAATGGGCGTGAAAATACTGCGGGTGGCCATTTTTTCCGGTGGCCATTTTGGAACCGCCAATCAGCTGTTTTTAAAACATCGCTATGCAAAAATCGGTAAGCGCAATAGCTTACCGATCATCACAAAGCGATTTTTTGCCATTAAAAGGATTGCAGTGTGATCACAAAAAACAAATCGCTATGCGGATTCTTCGTTAAACAGGGCGCTCATTAAGTGAGGCACCACTGTACTTCTTTATTTATTTTTTGTATACCTGTTGTATTTAGTGTCTACATACCGTCTTTTTAATGATGTAAGCCGTCTTGTGTTCTTTTTAAGGAGAAAGGCGGGATAAAAATATTTTAAATCAGCCTACCTACCTAACTTTTGGAAAAGGGCTTTCACCATTAGGCATATGATTTTCAGAAATCATGTACTATAGCCCCCCCAATTCCCCCAGCCAGGCTTCTGGGGGCTTTAGTCAAAACAACACATAAAACAAACAAACAAACAAACAGAACTCCCCAAACTCAGTCCCTTTCAGATGCCTGTAATCACTTTCAGCTGAGAAATAATGGCTTCTCAGACATGATGAAAACGTAGGAAGTGGGACTGAGTTTAGGAACTCCAAGGCATCATGGATCTGGTGGTCTCTCTGCCTATTATGCTTCATACAGGGTGCCTCTCAAGACACTAGCAGACCCCTAATGCTGTGGAGATCCCAGAGAGCTTAAGCCACTTCCTTTGTCTTCATTGTGTCAGAAAGAAACCATTATTTCTCAGCTGAAAGAAAGTGATTTCAGACACTGAAAGGGACTGGTTCCCCCCTCCCCCTGTTAAAGTGTGTTTGGGGGGGATTCCTGCAGATGCCTGGGGGCTGTAGTCCATGAATTCCAAAGTCCCATGCTTACGTCTGATATCCAAGAGGTTGGGCCTTGTGATGTTGAAAGCTGGGACAGGCAAGGATTGGGAGAGAGGCTGGAACCAAGCAAAGTGGATAAAAGGCATCTCAGGGCTATGGGGACGGAGATAGGCAGTTAGATAGTTGGCTAAATAAACTCAACAGCTGTAGAGTTGTTGCCATTCCCAATATGGCTTGTCTTCGATATGGCCAAGGCTATATGTTGCTGCTGGGGTTTGTCGAAGAATCACACCCAGTCAATGGGGTATTTTCTTCCAAGGCGTGTGCAGCAAGATGAAGTAATGTTGGTGGCTCCACTTTGCCTTTCTCTGAATGGTACAATGGTTTCAATCACCTACCTACCTATCAGTTCTACTTTCTCTCCCTAGTCCCCCCGCCCCCATATAAATACCTTGAGGCTGGGTACAGGAGCCCTGACTCTAGAGGAGAATTAACAGAGATGAGTGCCCAAACTTGAAAATCATGCACTTATACATACATATGCACTTACACCTTCCTTGGGTCCTTTTTAAGGAGAAAAGTGGGTTAAAATATTTTAAATAAATAAAGAGAATGAAATACAAACATGATAATGCAATAAAAATGTCAGACATAATAGCGTGTCAGTGGGTACACACTGGTTGGCAGTTGGGGTCAATTTCAGCATCTTTCCTTCCCCTCCAAGGTCCCACCTGAAGGATGATGGAAGGTTATGAATGGCTTCCTTCCCCAGGCCAGGGAAGAGTGTCACCTCCCCCAGGTGTTAGATCAAAGAGTGTGGAAAGGTAGGAGGATGAAAAGGGGGGCAAAATCCCCACTCCAGGAGTTTCCTGCCCAGCAGAGACTCTAAAAGAGCAAATTACTGCTAGAGGACAGGGAAATCCTGCAAGGAATACAGAAAAAGAACTGGATAGAGAGAGGGTGGGGTGGGGGAAGGACCAGAAGAGAGGGGGAAAGTTCAACACACGCAGATAAAGGGGAGAGTGGAGATGCCTCTGGGTGAGTAAGTGGGGGCTGGATGGTCCATTGGTCTATGCCTATTTTGCCTGACTCTCTCTATCTGGTGAGCCTTCCCCATCTGAACACAGCGCTCCTGCGAGGGAACCCTAGCCAAGTTTGCCTGGTAACAGCTAAAACAGACGACTGGCTGGGGGAATGCAGGAGGGGAGCCTATTCAGGAGAGCCTGCAGGAGGTGAAAGAAGGAAAGAGTCTGCCCCAAGCGATTTGCTTTTCTCTTTGTGCTTCAGGGTTAAGTGCCACCAGGATTGAAGTGGAACCACGCAGGAGTGACAAAGGGACTGGACTAGAGGCAGAGAAGCATCAAGAGAAATACCCATGGGCCCCATTATTCTCTTGTGAATAGTTCTGCAGTAAACGTTTGGCTGGTTGAAAAGGCTGTTGGACTTTCCTTATGAGGACAAACACACCTAGTGGTCTGTCTGTTGGATGTCCATTTGTCTATGGATGGACTGAACATCCTCACACAGCATTAAAGCTGCACAGGATGTATCTGTACGATAGACGTAGTTTTAGAAGAGGCGGCCGTGTGAGCCTGTGCGAGAATATCAAGCAAAACTCAAAGCCAAGCCCAACCCAAAACCAAAACAACAACAACAATAATAATCAAATATTAAAAAGACAAAAAACTTGTGGTATCTGAAAGATTAACTGTTATATTTCTTGTGTTAAGCTCACATTAAAATATAACAATTAGTCTTTAAGGTACCACAAGGTTGTTGCCTTTTTCTGTTTGTTTTTCATTTGGATTTTGCTTGTATTATAGAGTTATACAGCTTGATACCTCTCTAATTATCATGGCACCATCCTACAAGAACCTGAGACTTTTAGTTGGGTGAAATACTTAGGATTCTTTGCTAGAAAACTCCAGTCCACTCTCTTGAACTACAACACAGAATTTCCTCATCAAACTACAAATCCCAGGATTCTTTTGAATGGGGCCATGACTAGAAATGGGTACAAACCATTTGTGTTTGTTTGTTTTTGGCCAAAAAATGAACAAGCACAAACTTCCAAACTGGTGGTTCATGTCCATCTACTATTGCAGTGTGTCTATGACATAGATGCATCTACAGACTCTGCAAACCAGCCATGCCTTTATGAAGGGAATGCTTTCTTAAACGGCTGCTGCTTAAAGAGATTAGCTTTACGAATGTTATAAAGTTGGCCAGAAAGAATATTTGCAAATATTTCATGATAAAATTGAAGAACATGCATGATTGTCCATGGATCTACCCTGTTTCTCCGAAAATAAGACCTAACGTGAAAATAAGCCCTAGTATGATTTTCAAGGATGCTTATATTGAAAATAAGCCATAGTATGATTTTTCAGCATGCTTGTATTATAAGCCTTACCCCAAAAATAAGCCCCACTTAAGTGAAACCCTGCCCTCCACCATTGTGCAGCAACCAGAAGATGATGACATTACTGTATTTGAATACATGTAGATTGTTGTATATGAAAAAAATAAAACATCTCCTGAAAATAAGGCCTAATGCATTTTTGGAGCAAAAATTAATATAAGACCCTGTCTTATTTTCGGGGAAACACGGTATAATTCTAGATATGCTTTGTGAAATAGGTGCATGATTTACCTTTACAAGAATGACTTCTTCTGTCAGTCTGGACTCTTTCCGTTGCATGTAGCGACTCCTCAAAACCCAGTACTGCTGTCTTCCCCAGGACGGACGGGTAGCCTATTACCCCAGAGAACAAGGGTTTCTGCTCATCATCAATAGAGGACACAAAGGAAGATGACCTGCTTCTTTTCTCCTCAAAATGTTTCCTGGTGTTTTGATAAAGTCTGCTGTTATCCACTGAAGCTCTCTCCTCTTTGTCATACTCTGCTAAAAAGGATATCATTGTGTCAATAATATGCAATTTATCCTCCCCCTTGGAAAACCAGGGGAGAACTTATTACAGCATTTAGCACTTTTGTTCCCTGCTAAGGATAATATTACGTTAATATTCTGTTAGAGAGAGAGAGAGAGAGAGAGAGAGGTAGCTGAGGAATGTCGATTTATTTCCTCAGGCAGATCCTGTGATTCATTTTTACATAGCTCTCACGGGCATCCTTGAGCCTAGAAACAAAGAGTATGCACAAATAAGTATACAGTATTAAATGTGGAAAAGTGTATATGAGCATGAAGGATTACTAATCTTTCTATTTTGTATACTTCAATATTTCATTCTGTATGCTTTTTTTGAATGGAAATATTGAGATATGTTGCTAGCACTGAAGATTTATTGCAGGCTATGTTTTACTATGGGAGTCCTAAACCACTCTGTAGTCAAAGTGGTTTGGAGAAATTTCTCAATTTGCTTCTGTTCATGCTGTTAAATCAGCCAAATTCTGCCATCTTTAATCTTTATATAGGAACCATATGGGCAGCCTCAATGTGGATTTATTTATCATTTCATTTCAATTCTGCGTTTCACCCAAGGCAGCTCACAAACTATTAACTCTCCCCCAGATAATAATATGAAATAACACCTTACCTATATCTGCCTCTGCGTGCACGCACACACACACACACACACACACACATACACACACAGACAAACACACACACACAAACGAACACTGAACAAGCAATAATATTTACTGTAAAGTAGCATTGATTTTAATACAGTTTGAACCACTTTAAAAACACATCAGAAATCAATACAATGTACATCCCACGCTGAAGTTTCTTTTTCTAATTTCTTGGTGGTTTTGCAAATTCTTTGGATTTTGCAATTCCTTTGTAATCCTTCAACTCAATAATGTAAGTTTGTTTACTTCAAAGTAAACCCGCACTTCAGCTGGACCTAGCAGGAAAAATCAAAATATATTTGCTGAAAAGTCATACCCAGGAAGTTGGGTTTCCCTGGGTTAATTCACTTCAGCCAACACAGGATTCAGCACAGAGAGGGAGAAAATCAGACCTCTTTGTATCCTGTTAACCATTTTGATCCTGTCCTCCCTACACTTGGTACCTGAATCTTTTTGTTTCCCTCTTCCCTTCCTGTTCAGTTTCTTTCTTTCCTTCTGTTTTCCTTTTAAAGGCTTTGGGTCCCAGTTGTAGAAGAGCTAGGTGACCAAAGTGGGGAGGAGCACAAAGAGTTGGTAGAGAGATTGGAGAGAGTTTTCACTTTAATCTTGTTTCCAACTTATTCAGAAAAAAGAGTGATAATGTGGCAGAGAGGCAGAAATTTTAAAGTAACTCTGCTCTTACTGTCTAGATTACAAGAGGCATGGTTATAGCAAAGCTACTTTAAAACTTCCTCCTCTCTCTTTGCTGAGTCCTAACTCTGTTTCTTCCTCTCTAGTCACCTAGCTGTCCTCTCTTTGTCCCTAAGTTCACAGCATTAAGTTTAATAAAGGTAAAGGTAAAGGTTCCCCTTGACACTTAGTCCAGTTGGTCTAACTCTAGGAAGTGGTGCTCATCCCCGTTTCCAAGTCGTAGAGCCAGCATTTGTCTGAAGACAGTTTCCGTGCTCACGTGGCCAGCGCGACTAGACACGGAACACCGTTTACCTTCCTACTGAGGTGGTACCTATTTATCTACTCGCATTTACATGCTTTCGAATTGCTAGGTTGGCAGGAGCTGGGACAAGCGATGGGAGCTCATTCTGCCCCGTGGATTTGATCTTATGATTGCTGGTCTTCCGACCTTGCAGTACAGAGACTTCTGTGGTTTAACCTGCAGCGCCACCAAGTCCCCATAATACAACTTAATCAATTCCCTCTCTAGTGGAAGTTTTGACATCTTGCCTCTTTCTGTACAGATCATATTTTATGAAGTTAGGAATAAGCTTCTGGTTCATGAATTGCTGCTTCACCTTTCTTTCCCATGGCACAATGAAACCCCAGTGTATTTACAGTAACACACGGGGGTCTCATTTATTTAAGCCATATTTCCCTGTTCCATATAGCACATTCAGCACCACTAACCAGAATAACATTGCAACCCCAAATCTGATTTCATCCTAAAATCCTGCTGAAAATCAGAAGCCTAGGGGCCCTGAATAGAAGTGCACTCTTTCCTCTTCACTCTTCAGGTCCCCTTCTGAAAATACACATTAAGAAAAATAATAATATACACACAGTTAAGCAGCTGGCATCATCTGGATCAAGAAAAGAATCTCAGCCTGGATGCTAAACAGAGGACCAAGCGCTGCCGCTGAATGGCTTCAGTAAAAAGTTTAGAAATCACTGAATCAAGCACACGTTGTGTGGGCTGTGAAAGATAAGAGACTGGAGTATTGATAACAGGCTTTGAATTAATCTCTGTGTTGTGACTTGGTTGTCAAAGAAGTCTGGGATTTGATTAAGATATTCTTATGGCCTTGCTTTAATTCCGTGCGAAACGGCGTCACTGAATCAATTGTTCTACTCTTGACAAATTATGTAGCTGAGGCAGTTGAGATAAAAGCATAAAAGAGTGGTGCAGATACTGTCTAAAACTGGTAGCAAGCAACTGCAGAAAGAGTTGCCATAGTAACAGCCAGACTAACATGAAGTGAGGGATGAAGTAAGTACCACCCCATATTTAGCACTTCAAGGAAAGAAAAGCTCAGATGAATGTCGGTATTCTCATACTGGCAAAAAAAGGAAGGAAATATCTGGAAGAAGTACGTAATCCTTATCGGGAGGGGAAGAGAACTGGCAGTGAAAAGATATCAAATTCTTCTAGAATAAAATGCTCAGAATGAAAGAAGACATCCAGTGGGGAGAAGACATGGCTCCTCCATTGTTGCTGGACTGCTGTCCCCACCAGTCATAGCCAACATAACCACCAGAGAAGAATCACAAGGAGCTTCAGTCCCACAACATCTGGATGACAAAACTCTCCTCATCCTTGCCCTTTAGTTACTGTACCTATAAATAAGCTTAAGTTACACGTGACTATTACAGCCACACAGTCTTCCTCTGTTCACCCTCGCCTCCATTTCCCTTCACTTCCTCTGTTGGCTCCCTTGCGTCATTCCTCTAGACTGCGAGCTTCTTGGGACAGAAGCCTTTCCTCCAAGTCTTGGTAAAACACTATATAGATGGGGAATAGTATATTAATATTTGAAAAGGTAATGAATGAATGAATGAATGAATGAATGAATGAATGAATGAATGAACGAATGAATCAAAGAAAGAAAGAAAGAAAGAAAGAAAGAAAGAAAGAAAGAAAGAAAGAAAGAAAGAAAGAAAGAAAGAAAGAAAGAAAGAACAACAGAGCATCCTGTGTGTGATTGCAAGGGGAAATAGCTACTTCATCCCACAATTGTCTTCTTCACTTTAGGCACAGTGTCGTGGATTTGTATATATGAAGAATTTGCAACAGATAACTGTAGTAATGCTTGTTTAGGAACGGGTCACTGTGAAACCACAAAGACCTTCTTACCCTGAGGTATGAATTGTGGCTATTTAGTTCAGGTTCTCTTGGATGAAATGGCATGTTTAGTTCCAATTTATGTTGATCTCTATCCTATGAGACAGATAGGATGTTGGTTCTCCTTGGCCTCCCCGTCACTGAGACTTCCTTCTGGACTGCCTTTTTGTTCTTTGAAAGTGGAAAATATGGTGATTCCGCTCCCCCTCTCCAGAATCAAGTACTGGGAGATATCTGATTCAGCTCCTTGCACGTACGCTATATTTCTCCATCCCTACCATGTTTTTTTGGTATCTACTGGACAAGGTTATCTTAGTGGTTAGAGTTCAGTGGTGTCTGGATGCTGAAGCTACCTGGTTCTGGTATTCCTAGTCATCTGACTGAGGTGAGGCTGCAGAAATTCTGAAAGAGTGACTTGAATTCAGTAACAACCTGGGTGAATTATTTCTGAGACACAGTGGAAGGGCAACGGGGAGATAAGCTCTTTGAGTTAAATTTCTTGTCTCCAGGCAGATGGCGTTCAACTTGTAGTGGTCACCATTGCTCTTCCCCAAGAGAGGATGTTTGCGGTTTGGGAGTACTGCTAGACACAGCCCAATCACCAGAGTTTCTAGAAGCCCAAGGCACTTTTCCTCAGGTGCAACTAGTTCATCAGCTGTTGGCACTTACAGACAGGTATAGCCTGGCCATGCTGATCCATGCTTTGGTAATGTTTCAGCTCAATGACTGCAATGTATTACATATGCAATGATCTTTAAGATGGTTCAATATCATAAGTAGCTTCAATTAGTACAAATCTGAATATTGACTGGTGCTGCTTACTTCACCTGTATTATGCCAAGTCTAGAACACCTTCGCTGATGGCCCAATTCAATCTGCTATTTCCTACCTCTAAAGCTCCTGCCACCAAAAAACCTTAAGTTCTTAGTCCCATATCAACCGGTCTGCTTTCTACAGTTCTGCTGAGGCCCTTCTTTCCATACCTCTTTCAGTACAAAATCAATAACAAAATAATCTTGCAGAGATACACCAGTCTGCAGATGTCTTCTGCAAAGAAATTCAAACAGTGCCAACACTGTTACTATATAAGAAAGCCAAAACATTTATTTCCCCAAGTGCTTCTATGTTTAATTGTTATTATTATTTATTTTATAACAAACACACAAACTCAGAAAAGACAATAAAAATGCAAACATACACTGCAATACGCTCCTTAGTGCTTATAATGTTTAAACTGAGTAAGTTTTAGTTTGCTTTAAAACTTTAGCAGTTCCGTCATCTTTTTCCTTTTTTGCATTTGATTTATGATGTACCCCACTGTGAAATCTGATAAGATGAAAGGCAGCATTAACATGCTTTCAAAGAAAGAAATATAACTGGATACCATTCATTAATGGGATAAAACCAGCCATGTGATGAACAAAATGTATATGCTTGGTCCAGACAACTTGTGAACGGAACTCCTTTCATATACTGGTCAAAGGGGTGATTTTATCTTTAAAAAGTCACCAATTTTTGCCAATTACCTCTGCACTCACTCAACACGGGACACTCCAATCAGCATGTGAAGTGAGGCTCATCTCTATTGCTTCCTCATGAAGGGTGACTGTGTCGGATCTTATGCCTTCCAAGACAAAAGGAGCTCTTCCATTCACAGAAAGACAAGACTGGATCCAAGTTAGAGATGTACAGCTTTGTGTTTTTGGACTACAACCCCCAGAATTCCCTAGGCAGCATAGCCATACTGCCTAGGGAATTCCAGGGAGCTATGGTCCAAACAATCCTGTGAGCCTTCGATCCAAATTGAAATTTCATTACTTTCTGCCCATTTTTTGAAGAGTGCTATGTGAGATGCATGTTGAGATCTGAATGCATGAAAGTCATTTATTTGCTACTGCGAGGCAGCTATTAAAAATTCCGCAGTGGACATGGCTTAGAAGGTTACTATTTCTTCTTTAGGTGGCAACGAATGGTTTCCCATACGAAATGTGAAGGTCACTCAGGCAAGTCACCTCTGTCAACGGCTTGTGTGTGCATGTGTGAGAAGAGCAGCTTAAATATTTCATGGGGACATTTCCTTGACAGATTTGCTGTCATTCTTGGCTTTGTGCTTCAGAGATGCCCCTTTGATGGAAAGGTAATGTCACACTACTGAAAAAAAAAGATACCAAGCTAAAGGCTTCCTTGTCTAGGACAAACAACTGCTTGGTAACTTGAAAAGTTCTGACATCAGCAATTCAGAGAGACCTTGAATTACTGTATTTATAATGAGGACTATGCCATAGCAAATAAAAAATTGTTCATTTAATTAACACTGTAATCCTATACAAGTTTTTACAAGGATGGAATGCAGAAAGTCTTCATTTCTACACGCACTTGTATCTGGGAGATAAGCTCTTTGAGTCCAGAAATTCTTAGATACATGAGTGTCGGAATGCAGCTTAAAAGACAAAAGATACATAAATCATGTTTGATAGTTATTTAATATGTTGGAATATGTATCAGAATCCTCAAAGGTTTAGGGCTAAACATCCAAAGATTTCCCAGTTTCTCCAGCTGTGAAAGTTTCAGAGCTTTTTTTTTTTGCATGAGAGCTTTAAATCCAACTGGCTTGATAAGGCTGGTGCGCCCATCAGGCAGACTAAGGTGCCATCGTAGCAATGTGGTTAAAGTACTGAACACTCAGGAGACTGTTGGAGTTCTTTGCAACTGCACATTCCACCTCTAGTAGGTTTGGCTGGGAGGGAGCTTTCTGGGCTGAGATGACTGTATATCTTTTTAGCACTAATCCATTCTTCCTTCCCTGCCTATAAGTGCAAAGAAAGCCCTGCTTCTCTGCTCCGTCTCTCCTTTTTCCCCACTTAAGAGTCTGTTGGAAGCAATGAGTCGCTTGAGGCCAGTTGTTCAAAGCAGTCATGTTTTTAGCTTAATGTTATATTTCACTGAAAGTAATGAAACCTTGTATTCTTATTCTCACTAATGTCTCAGAATGAGTTATTGAGACAGTAAGTGCCAGTTGGTGCGAGAAGGGGGTGGACTAAATCTGAGAACTTGAAGCTAATTCTGCTCCTTGAATCCTTGCATTTCTGCTGCACAGCTAGCATAGTTTAACCAACATTGCAACAGAGATATGGGATTAAACTTCCTACTCAGCCATAAAAGACACTGGCAACTTTGGGCCAGTCACACTCTCAGCCTGATCTTCCTCAGGCTGACCTTGTGAGGATAAAATGGAGAGGAAGGGATCCATATACCTTGTCTTCAGCTCACTGGAAAAAATGGGGAAGGGGATAGAAATAAATAAATAAATGAATGAATGAATGAATGAATGAATGAATGAATGAATGAATGAATGAATGAATGAATGAATGAATGAATGAATGAATGAATGAATGAATGAATAAGGCTACCAGCTCAGGTAGCAGATGTTGGAGGCCAGCAGCAGGATGTTCCTTCCTAACTGTTCTTCCAACACTTCCCAAACGTTTTCTTCTGTTGGACACTGCTCAGCATCTCCAGGGCCCCTTCAACTAATCAAGTGCTTCTACCCTATCACCAAAGAGGCTGCAAGTCCCAGCAACCTCTGTACATGATTGAGGAGGGGACACCTTCTTGTCCTGAGACATGGGCCGCAATGTCTCAGGCCAGCCGCAGCCCTTTATTCTCTTAAATGTATGTTTTGCAGAAAATATAATATGACAGCATTCAAAGGAATGATACTACTCAGCTGGAGAGCCACTCAGACAAAAATCCCTTGCAGCCTCACTTGAGGAACAGAATTCTGGCAGGCATCACGTTTCCATAGAGATCTAATGAACACAACTGGGTTTTCGCCTTGTTGGATTAAACCTCCTGCTACGACTGGAACCATGTCACAAATAAGGCAGTATCATGATCTGACTGGTTTCTGAGCTTTGCTCAGGTCCCGCTATCAGATGCTACCCATATCAGTTTCCCTAGACCTTTTCCTGAATTCTGTAGGTTTTCCAAATGGACTTGAATAGCTTACAGCTAGGTAGGCTAAATGTTTCAAGTAACTGAGCAGATCTTAGTATTTTAATTCTAAGGTCAATGAGCAATTTTTGTCACATTAAAGGATGTCAACATCACCCACGCGCTACACGGTTTGAACTACAGCAATACATTAAAATTCTAAAATCTGATTCGTACAAATAAGTTGAACGGCTTCAGAGCCTTTTAACAAACTCGAACTTTAGACAATGAGAAGCACTTAGTGTCTGAGGATGACACTTCCTCCACCATCATCAACACTCATTTTTTTTTTTAACAAAAGGAATTCATTACCTTTATCTACTTCACTTTCAAAAGATAACTTCCTTCTTCGGAGTTTGCGGCTGTCCTCATCTGACTCGTTTGTGGGTTGTGGTCTTATGGTGAGGTCCGCCTGGATAAGTGACAGAGCCCCACATGGTAGATTAGACAATGATCTTATGTTGCACACCCCTTCACAGGTTAACTTTGTGTGGGGAACTAGACTTCTCTGTCCGTGAGGTAAACTTTTGTATCCCTCTCCCAGTGTCTGGTGCCCTCTCCTACACATTCTATATATCATGATGCATTCCCTCCATGCCTTATGGCGTAAGAGCAGAGGAACCTCAAACCCATCACAGCAGAATTCTCAAGGGTGAAAGGGGATGCAGGAGACTTCCTTTTTCCACTGGCAGAAGGAAACTCTGGATCTAACCCATACATTCAAAATCCCAATAGCAATAACTGCACATGTGAGGGTAATCATGTAACTCTCTTCCCCTTCAGTGGGTTGCCATTCAAGGGATGAGTCACACATCCAATTTCACAAACAGTATGCAACCAGTCACTCCTCAATAAAATAAAATAAAATAAAATGCCTGCTAAGGGCAGAAATGCTGGTGGGCCTGCCCTTTCACAGTCACATAGGTGAACAGAATTGCGGCCTCAGTGTTCCTTTTTTTAAGCAAGCAAGAAAAAGTAATCCATTTCTAGGTAAGGCCCATAATCCAAATTAATGTGCACAGCTGGAACTGAAGAGAGTGTGGGTTAATGCTGGCGTTAACATGTTAATTAAAGCATTTCTCCAACTTCTATAATGATTGGCAATTGTTTGTTTTTTGAGCATTGAAAAACAAGCCTGGTGAGGAAAAATATGAAAAGTCCCCTTAGGATGTGTATTACTGCAGACAGTAATGTAGTAACTGATTGTAATTAGTTATGACATTTAATTACACAATAATGGTGATAAACATTACATTGCATAATACTAGGACTGGTGAATTATACACGTCTTTGTGTCTTCCTGCTTTGATTTAGCTAAATTCAGCTATTGCTGAAACTGGCTTTTTCTGACTGCTATTTTCTTTATTTTAATGAATAATTCGTTCTGCTTCTTTGTGGAAAATTTCAGATACAATACTAGGTTTACAGTTCAAATTCACGAAATTCACGATGCCTCTAACTGGAGAAAGGGGTTCTACTGAGTCTTACAATGATGTCACCCCGTGAGGTGATGCTTCATGTCATACATACTGTATAAATTTTTAAAATATAACCTTTCTATTCTTATTTTATTCCTAAACAACAGATTGAGGGTGGCAAACATTGTACGTGTCAAACAATGCTCGTGTTATATCCCCCCACTCACAGCCACTAACAATGTAACAAACAACTTTTACATCACAAATTTTCTCATTAGTCAAAAAAAAAGAAAAAAGAAGAAGTGTGTGTTGTGAAAATGAAATCATCCCATTAGAAAAAAAGTGGTCAATCACAGCAACATTTTTGGTCCTGAGTATGAAAAATGAAGCTTTTTAAAAAAAAAATCAGCTGCCAGAATGACAAAAAACCCTAAAAAACCCCCAAAACCAAAAAACCCAAACAAGAAAAACAAAGGATGATGTTTTGGTGCTAAAATTGGTTTCTTTGTGCAGAACTTATATTTTTTGAGAGAGATTTTTGTGCAAAATAGAAGGCTTTTTGTACGTGTGTACAAAATCCATTTTATTTTATTTTATTTTGGAATAAAATGTTCTCAAATGCAAAAAAGCCACACAAACTCTGGTAATGTCCTCCAGCAGAGAGAAAAATGTGTTGAATTTTTCATTCTCACCTGTGTGGGACAAGGATTCAGATCCCTGTTGATGTTTTTGTATTGTGTTGGCAGCCCTTGGACCAACTTCTATTTCTAGACGTTACATAGGAACAAGGCATAGTTCATTCTGCTGACAGTGGTTTGGCAGTTGGCCCAGAAGACAAGGCCAGGCCAAGCCAAGCCATGCTACGAAGATGGCATGCAGAATCCCATTTCTCTTTCTTTCTCATGTCTTGTCTAAAATACATGTTTAGTTTGACTGAACTATGCTGATGGCAATGCTGATGTTCACTTTTCTTATCCTCCTGCCTTTTGGTAACAAGCTAGAAGAAAGGTTGCTATGGCAAATTCCACTGAACTGGAACAAGGATGTTGATTTTGTCATTTAAACCAAACATTCCACGTAGTGCTAATCAAAGGGAAATAATGCAAAAATAATAACTTAAAGGTTTGACAGTTGGTTGTTTAATAGCATCCAAAATTGTCCTAATGGCAGTACATGTAATGTTGTTTTTAATGTTATTTTAATACAGTCTTGTTGTTGATTAATATATTATTATTGGTTTTATGTGTTCTCATTGTATGCTGCCTTAGCGATTCTTGTGGAAAGGCAGTATAAAAATGTCCATCAAGGCATGGGGCACAGTTCTGTTGTGGTTTTCAGCCAAGCGAAATCTTTTATTTTGTTTACTGACTTGTTTTTAAAATTATTTCTCACTTGTCCTGTATCAACAGATCTTAGGGTACAGAATAATCAGTAAAATCACATGAAACAATTGAAAGGAGTCCAAACAATAAAATAATTTGAAGTATTTAAAAAAAAATAAAACCCACTTTAAAACAATTTAAAAGCCGCCCCTCATTGGAGGCAGTGGTGGGGTGCGCGTGAATAAGCTAGTTTGGTTTCTTTCTAACTTTATTCGGTTCCTCTGCAGTTTCAATTCCTTTAACCCAAAGATGATCCTTATCTTTTCATTTGTGAAAAAATATATATCAAAATTTCACACGTCATGTACCTTGGGAGTTTCATGTCTCAAATTGAATGTGAGCTCCAGATTAGTGAGAAACAGGTCTGAAAATTCAGGGTACATGTCCAAAACTTCTAATAAGTCTTCCCGTTGGATCTTATGCAAGTCACAGTAGGTCAGTGCTCTCACATCTGCATTCGACTTCCCTGGTTTTGCGTAAAGATGTACCATTTCTCCAAAAATATCATTTTTTCCTGCCGCAATCAAGGGGGAGGGAAGGGAGCAGACACAGAAAAAAAATTACAATAAATTAATATATACATTGTTTCCTCAAATAGATATAGAACCAATCTTAAAAAGGGATTTGTTAACATACAATCTTTCTGGAAATGGCACTTATTCTGGCCTTGAAACAGGAAATTTGGGATGTAACCCTTCCTAGTGGTAGCTAGGGGGTGGGGCTGGGAGGAATTTATACCAACACTTTCCCTGGCATTATGCATGCATGCGTGTGGGTGTAGGTGCTCAGTTTGGAATCATGCTTCTACTCTAATATGTGTTTGTGTGAATTTCATATGACCCTCCCATGCACTGAAACAACATGTGAAGAGGATTGTGGGGCTCCACATGTTAGCCTTATTTCCTGCTGCCCTCCGTGCTTTGTGTTAGGCCACCACAGGGAGGGTCTTTACATGTATACTGATTTATGTGCGTAGAGCTTCTCCATATAAATCTGGCCAAGTTTGTATCTTCTCTGACACAGAAGAACCTCATGCACATACATCAGGACATGTGTGGAGCTCCACCAGAGGCTGGACCAATACATGGAAGATAGAAAAGCATGGCTACTGCAGGGGTAGTACTCTAGACCAGTGGTTCTCAAAGTGGGGTCCCCAGATGTTCCCAAAAACCTTCACTTTCTCAAAGTGGGGTCCCCAGATGTTCCCAGAAACCTTCACTACTTGCTGAGCTGGACAAGATCTCTGGGAGTAGCAGTGTTTAACCTTCACTACTTGCTGAGCTGGACAGGATTTCTGGGAGTAGCAGTGTTTAAGAACATCTGGGGACCCAAGTTTGAGAACCACTGATCTAGACCTTATACTTTGCCTCACTTCTTTCAATATATTACAAGGGTCATTCAACGTACCTAAGAGGAAACTATATCACAGGATTGTGCTATGCTGGTATATTAGCTTTGGAAGCTCTACATCTTTTGCTGAGCTGGACAGGATTTCTGGGAGTAGCAGTGTTTAAGAACATCTGGGGACCCAAGTTTGAGAACCACTGATCTAGACCTTATACTTTGCCTCACTTCTTTCAATATATTACAAGGGTCATTCAACGTACCTAAGAGGAAACTATATCACAGGATTGTGCTATGCTGGTATATTAGCTTTGGAAGCTCTACATCTTATGGAGAGGGGACAATGTGCGTTTATGGAGAGGCATCTTTTCCTCAGTTTGCATTCTTAAGTCACAAAATTCTTACAAATGGCTAGTTGGAATAAAAAGAGTCTTTGAGGGAGAGGGGGAAAAGCGCTTAGTGGAGATGGGCTCTGGAGAGGCATCTTTTCCTCAGTTTGCATTAAGTTACAAAATTCTCACAAATGGCTAGTTGGAATAAAGAGTCTTTGAGGGAGAGGGGAAAAAGCACTTAGTGGAGATGGGCTTTCAGTACAGCTGGCAGTGTGGTCTCTATTCTCCTGTCTTTCCATTTGCTTCAGCGAGATGGAGGTAAGCTGGGTGGCTCACCCTAAGCCCCTTTCAGAACACTGGATGAAATGAGGGCTTATCCAGTAATCTAATAGGCCCCTCTGCTGAGCCATTCTTCTAGTGCAGTGGTTCCCAGCCTTGTTCTTGGACTGCAATTCCCTGAAATCCTGGCTAGCATAGCTGGTGGTGAAGGCTTCTGGGAATTGCAGTCCAAGAACACCTGGGTTACCCAAGGCTGGGAACCACTGCTCTAGTGGAATGGATGTTTCCATAGCAGAACAGGAGCAGTGGACCACCATTCATACTTCGAACACATTTTCCCTTCCTCTTCCCAGCTGAACAAGCAAGCTGAACAGCAGAGTGCTGATATCTCTCTGGTTTTGGCATAAAGTGAGTTTAGGATTGCAGTTCTGTCAGGCTGCAGTCCTATACACATTTGCCTCCCACAAAAACCAATGTGGTTTCCTTTAACTACACAATACGGTATTTTTCTTTGTTTAAAAGTACAATTTACATTTGCATTAAAAAGACAGATTTCCAATTTCTCATTGATTTTCATCCACTTGAAGCATTGTCTCTCGTAATAACTGCTACTGTGTCGGCAATGACCTCTTTCCAGACTTGATGAAATCTCACACGGCTTACCGAGAATGGCGACAACCATGTCGTTCTTGAGGATTTCGATGGAGCCCCGCGAAAGGAAGTAAAGGGCAGTCAGGACGTCACCACAGTGGACCAGTGTGTCCCCAGGAGGTGCATGGGTCGTCTTAAACTTCATAGCCAAAGCCCGGAGACAGCCTTTACTGGCCCCCTGGAAAGCTTTGCAGTTTTGAAGTAAGGTTTGGTTGAGGTGGAGACAGATATCAGCTTGTAAACATTCTGGAAACCCCTTTAGGACCTAATGAAGACAAGGCGAGAGTTTAATCCAACTAACCTGCCAAGTTGCTTACAATTTTGGATGTCTCCTTCTGGGCACTCAGATTAAGAAAAAAAAATCCCACCAATTAACAACTCCGGTAGCTAGTCCAGGGCGATCTGGATAGAATTTGTAACAGACTGGGATCAATATATTATCAGAAGATTGAATTGCAAACAATGGAATAGGTAAAAAGATTCTACACGAATATTGGCTCCTATGGGGCTACCATATGTTGTAATATTATCTAGTGTACTCCTATTAAATATTTTGAAATCAGATATGCACTTGCATAGTACACTAATAAGTAGAATATTACAGTATTACCCCCCTATCTGTGGGATCAGTAGCTATTGATTCATTTATCCACTGTGTGAAAATACTAAAAAAGCCCTCAAAAATATGTATTGTGTGTGAAAATACTAAAAAACCCTCAGAAATATACAGTGGTAACTCGACTTACGAACATCTCTACCTATGAACATTTCAAGTTACAAACGGCTTCATTTACAAAATTTTGCTTCGACTTGTGAACTGAGCTTTGACTTATGAATAATAAAAAAACTTTCCTGCCCTTTTTTTGACCTAAGTTCATCTGAGGTCAAAAGAAGAAAAAAAAATTCTGTCCCTAGTGGTAGAGTATGGATTAACCGGCTTTGCATTAGTTCCTATGGCAACTAATGCCTCTACTTGCGAACAGCACCTCGGCATGAGAACGAAAAACAGCCAGAATGGATTAAATGGTTTTCAATGCATTTGTATGGGAAATTTTGCCTTGACTTATGAACGTTTCGCTGTACAAACGCCGTTCCAGTATGGATTAAGTTCGTAACTCGAGGTACCACATATTTATTTACCTATTTATCAGAACTGGCCAATAGATGGAGCCAGACCATGTAATATACTGTATAGCGTTCAATACTTCCACATTTTTCAGGATTCCCTTGCCACTGGCTACTCATGGGAGCTGCGGTTCAAAGTATCTGGATGGGGAAAATTTGCATTGAATGGATGCTTTTAGTTTAAATGAAAAATTGATATGGTAATCTGCCCTTTTCTCGTTCTTTCTTTTTGGTAAGCGGCAGGCAGGACAAATGGCATTGCTGGAGGAAATGTGAAAGAGTTATCTTAAAGGGCCACAGGTTTTGGCTGGCCACGATCCCACCTAGGATGACATTTGATTTGAAGGCATCAGGAAATAGTGAGAGGTCATATTTCTGAGAGCTGAGCTACCGTTTCAGGCATCTCCCTGGCAGTGACAGTTTGTTGTCAGGACTACAGCATGCAGGGAGGCAGAGTTTAACCAATTCCTATCTTGCCTTTGCCTTGACAATAAGTCTTCCTCCAAAACGACTAATTGCATTGAGAGGAAATTACTTGCTGATAATCAGAGCAGTATTTTCTTCCAACATAAGAGGAACAATTTTGCTAGGTCTGCTCAGGAGAGGGCCAATTACTGCCCCAAGCTGCTGGGGCCGATCAGTCCTGCCAATCTGCTTTGCTGTACTCTGCCCACATCACAGCACGATCAACTGAATCTTCAGCCATTTAGAACAAGAACCGTCAGAGTCCCATTGGCCTTTATGTAAGAGCTGTATAACTTACTATAGCTTACTGGGACTGATTTTGATGAACTGCCGGAGCGTGACTCAGTCACACACCTGGTCATGTACCTGACTGTGCAACTGAGATGCATCCCAGCTCGCTGCCAATTAGCTGCAATTAGCCATAGCAAATTGCACAAAGCTGACACAGATCCCAGCACTTAGCATCTCAAGTATAAATGGCCTTCTCGAAGGTTTTCACTGCCAAGATCCAATGGTTGTTGTGGGTTGGGTTCTGAAGGTTGTTCTTCCTAACATTTTGCCAGTCTCTGTGGCCGGCATCTTCAGAGGACAGGAGTCAGA